GCATCCATTCCCCGGGCCTCGGCCCCTGCCTCGACAGGATGTCTGCTCCCTTATTGAGATGCCCAGGAATGTGAACTGCTCTCAGCGAGAGGAGTTCCCCCTGGGACCACACATGGATCTGGTGCGCCAGCTTGTACAGCTGCCTCGACAGGATGTCTGCTCCCATATTGAGATGCCCAGGAATGTGAACTGCTCTCAGCGAGAGGAGTTTGCCCTGGGACCACACAAGAATCTGGTGTGCCAGCCTGTAGAGGGGGCGCGAACGCAGACCTCCTCGGTGGTTGATATAAGAGACCACCGCTGTGTTGTCGGTGCGCACCAACACATGGCGATCTCTTAGGTCCGGGAGAAAGTGTTTCAAAGCTAGAAACACGCCAATTGATGTGCCACTGAGATGGCGACCTCGGTCCTGATCTGAGACACGACTTGTTTGAGAATGAGCATCCTGAACTTCACTTTCAGAGCGGTTCAACTGACGCAGATCTAAAATGGGACACAACCCTCCATCCTTCTTCGGAACAATGAAGTACCAGCTGTAGAACCCGGATTCTCTTTCATGATGAGGGACCACCTCGATGGTCTCCTTCCTCAAGAGAGTGTTTACTTCTTGTTCCATTACCAGAGCCTGCTCGGGACCCACCAGAGTGGGGGTAACCCCGTTGAACCGAGGCGGAGGAGAACCAAACTGGATTCTGTAGCCTCTCTCTACAGTGCGCAGGACCAATTGAGACACATTTAGCAGTACTTTCCACGCTGCCAAATAGTCTACTAAGGGAATCAGTCTCTCAAGACTGACCTCTGGTGTAATCAGAAAGGCTAGCTCGGTGCCCTGAAGTGGCGGACAAGCAGGGGACGGCCGTACTAGCTGCTCTAGAGACCTCTGTGGAGGTTACGAGCCTCTTAGCACCGCTATGTTTCCGGGCGGTAACTGAGAGAAGCACTCGCCGGAGAACGCTGCGCCCTGGAACACCGACAGGGTTGGAAGACTGATCTCCTGTGGGCACTGAGGAGAGATGGGCACCGTGTGATGCGGTGTACACCGCTCTTCCCCAGAGGGGCCTGCCCTCCGAGGTCCTGAGCCATGGCATCAGGACTATCATAGCTGAAGTCTCCTATTGAAAACGACGGTCCTCAGACCCTGCTCGGAAGACTAGACTGATAGAAACAAAGCCAAATAGGGCATGCTTGGCAGGGGCTCCTAAACTGCCAGGTGACCTACTAAGGGTCACTGGCCTCCAGTGCACTTAGAGCAGCTAGGTCGGTGCCCTGAAGCAGCGAACCGGCAGGGGACGGCCGAACTAGCTACTCCTAGGCCTTAGGCGTCAGGACGTTTTAGACGAAGACTATCCAGTGAGAATGATGGTCCGCAGAACCGCCTTCCACTAGTCAAGTCAAATCACCTTTATTTATATAGCGCTTTTAACAATATCGATTGTGTCAAAGCAACTGTACAGCATTAATTAGGAAAATAGTGTGTCAATAATGCAAAATGAAAATAGTAAACACTCAATTTTCAGTTAAAGGCAGTTCATCATTGAATTTAGTGAAGTCATCATCCAGCTCAGTT